GTTACCATAGTTGCCGCATGAATTAATGCGGAAACAGGTGTGGGTCCTTCCATAGCATCAGGTAACCAAATATGTAAAAATACTTGGGCTGATTTACCCATAGCTCCAATAAAAATTAAAATACAAATAATATCTATAATAGACCAATTATAATTTAAAAATATAAAACCATAACCTTGTAAAATAGATATAGTAGAAAATGCACTAAAATATTCAACTGTTCGTAAATTAGTAAATAATACTAAAATTCCTAATATTAAAACTAAATCGCTTATTCGGTTTACAATCATTGCCTTAATAGCTGCCTTATTAGCCTGTAAACGTGTAAACCAAAAATTAATTAATAAATAAGAACATAAACCTACACCTTCCCAACCAACAAACATTTGAATAAAGTTATCTCCAGTTACTAAAATAACCATAAAAAAAGTAAATAAAGATAAATATGACATAAATCTAGATAAATGTGGATCATTAGCCATATATTCACCAGAATATAAATGAACTAATGTAGAAACTCCAGTAACTACGGTTAACATAACAAATGTTAAAGTATCGAAATAAAAAGCCCAATTACAATAAAAAACACCACTTGAAATCCAAGTAGTTACAATTAAATGGGTATTTAATGCTAAATCGATAGATTCTTTAAACATATTAACTGATAAAACAAAAGTTAAAAAAATACTAAGAGTGGTAATAGCTACTGAGCCTTTATTACCTATCCATTTTCCGAATAAACCTCCAAAAATAGCTCCTAATAAGGGTAAAAAAATAATTGATAAACTATACATTAATTAATAAAAATTTTTATTTTATATATTTTTTTTTTATAAAGATAATAAATGTATTTTATAAATTGATACATTTCCATGTATTTTAAAAAATAAAACCATTAAAGCTAAACCAATTGCCGATTCAGCTGAAGCCACTGTTAAAATGATCAGTGAAAAAATTTGACCCATAATATCATCCATAAATATAGAAAAAAAAATAAAATTTAAATTTACTGATAATAATACAAGTTCTATAGACATTAGTATAATAAGAATATTTTGTCTATTTAAAATAATACCTAATAAACCTAGACAAAACAAAATAAAATTAATAATAATATTGTTAAATAAAATCATTTTTTACTATTAAATTAAATTAACCAATTAAAACTTAATAAAATACCTGTAGTATATATAAAACAACCTAAAGTTAATGGTAAAAAAACTTTCCAACCAAGGCGCATTAATTGGTCATAACGATATCTTGGTAAAATTGCACGTGCTAAAACAAATAAAATAACAAAAAAAGATATTTTTAAACCTAACCAGAAAGGACCAGGTATAAAATCTAAAAATAAAGGAGCTAACCAACCTCCTAAAAATAAAATAGAAGTTAAGGCGCTCATTAATAACATATTAGAATATTCTCCTAAAAAAAATAATGCAAAACCCATTGCTGAATATTCTACGTTATAACCAGAAACTAACTCAGCTTCCGCTTCAGGCAAATCAAAAGGATGTCTATTTGTTTCTGCTAAAGATGATATAAAAAAAATAATAAATATAGGAAATAAAGGAACACAATACCATATTTTTTGTTGACCTAATACTATATCTACTAAATTTAAAGATCGTGCACAAACTACCACAGATAAAATTGAAAAACTTATTGTTAATTCATAAGAAACCATTTGGGCTGAAGAACGTAATGCACCTAAAAAGGCATATTTTGAATTACTAGACCATCCAGCAATTATAATACCGTATACACCTAAAGATGAAATTGCTAATAAATATAAAATACCTATATTTAATTCTGCATATGACATTCCTTTACCAAAAGGAATAACAACCCATGAAACTAAACTTAAAAAAAAAGTTAATATTGGGGCAAAAATAAATAAAACTACGTCACAATTACTAGGCAATATAGTTTCTTTAACAAATAATTTTAAACCATCTGCAAGTGGTTGTAATAAACCAAAAGTACCTACCACATTCGGACCTTTACGTCTTTGAATTGATGATAAAATCTTTCGTTCAGCTAAAGTGAAATAAGCTACTGCTATTAATAAAGGTAAAATTAAAAAAAGTACTTTTAAAAAAATTTTCATAATTAATTATTTATTATTATAAAATAAATTAATAATTTATTTTATATATCTATATAAAATAAAAATATAATATAAAATTAATCTTTAAAATTAATTTTTTAAAAAATTTGTTTTATTTTTTAATGAATTAATCGAATTTAATAAGATTTTTGAATAATTAATTAAAACATTATCAATATATAATTTTTTTCTTAATGAATAAAAATTGTATTTATTTATTTGTTTTATTTTTTTTTTATTGATTATATAAAAATTAGTTATATGTAATTTTTTTTTTTCAATGTAAGATAAAAGATGGATAAATTGAATATTTTTTTTATTTTTAAAATTATTATTATTATTTTTTTGAATAAAAATATTTAGATATTTAAATATTGAAAAATCAGATCTTTGATCTGTAGCTCTTTCTATTATAATATTATTTTTTTGAATAAAACCTTCAGTGTTTAAATAAATACCTTTTTTTTCTAAAAAAGTTAAATTAGGTAAAATTATATCAGCTAAATTAGCATCAAAAGTAAAATGATGACCTTGATAAACCACAAAATCATTTTTAGTTTTTTTTACTTCTTTTTGAAAATTTGTATTATATAAATAGTAAAAATTATTTTTTTGATTTTGAAAATTATATTTTTTATTAAAAATTTCCAAAAAATTTAAATAAGAACTTTGCGAATGTAAAATATTAAAATTATTTGAAGATATAAAAGATAAATTTTTTAATTTTTCAATTATTATTGAAAAATTATTTTTATTGATATAAAAAAAATTTGTTCCAAAAATTATAACAGGATTTTTAGCTTTTTTAAATTTTTTACAAAATGAATGTTTACCTTGAATAATTTTTATAAAAGTATCAATACTAATACCTAAATGTTTTATTGAATATGTATAATTTTTTTTTTCACCAATATAAAAAATATCAAAATTTCCTTTTTTTAAACGATTTATTAAATGTAAATTTAATATAGAACCTTCTTCACGTATATCACTATTAATAATTAAACATAAATCAGCGTTTTCTAAAGATTTAAAAGAAGTATTAAATAAATAATTTGAAGTAATATCAGAATTAAAATAATTTTCCTTTTTATTTGGATATAAATAAGATACATTAGATATACCTAATTGATTTAAAGTTGTTTTTAATAAAAAATCCGATTCTAAATCTGTAAGATTTCCAACAATTGTTTGAATTTGGCTACCATCATATGATAAAATTTTTTTATTAATATATTTAAAAGCATCTTCCCATAAAATTTCTTTGAAACCTTCTTCAGTTTTAATCATAGGTTTTTCAATTCTTTGATATTTTAAACTATCAAAAAAAAATCGAGTTTTATTATTTATCCATTCTTTATTTATATGTACATTTGTTTTTGGTAAGATACGAATTATTTCATTTTTTAAAGAATCTACCACAAAATTAGAACCAATTCCATCTAAAATATCAACACCTTCTTTTTTTATTATTTCCCATGGTCTTACTTTAAAAGCATAAGATTTTGAAGTTAATGCTCCTACCGGGCATAAATCTATTAAATTTCCTGAAAATTCTGAATAAAAAATATTTTTATCATAAAAATTTATTTCAGTTGAATTACCCCTACCAGTAGTACCAAAATTATCAATACCACAAATTTCTTCTGCAAAACGGACGCAACGTGTACAATGAATACAACGTGTCATTATAGTTTTAATAAATGGACCTACATTTTTATCTTCAACGCCTCTTTTTTTTGAAAAAAAAAAACGACTTCTATCACTACCAAATAACATTGTTTGATCTTGTAAATCACATTCACCTCCTTGATCACAAATAGGACAATCTAATGGGTGATTAATTAATATAAATTCTAAAACACTTTCTCTGGCCTTTTGAACCAATGGGGTATTTGTAAAAATTTCCATATTATTTGAAACAGGCATAGCACAAGAAGCAACGGGTTTTGGTGAATTTTTTATTTCAACTAGACACATTCTACAATTCCCCGCAATATTTAAATTTTCTTGAAAACAAAATTTAGGTATTTCAATATTTAAAGTATTACAAGCCTGTAAAACAGTTATATTTTTTTTTACTTTTATTTTGATTCCATTTATTTTAATGTCAATCATTCTTTTTTAATTAATTAAATTTTTAAAAAATTAATTTATTTGTATTATTAAATTTATTTTTCTTAATATAAAAACGAGAAAAGAGGGACTCGAACCCCCAACCAACAATTTTGGAGACTGTTATTCTACCAATTAAACTATTTTCCCTTTATCGGAAAGATGAGATTCGAACTCATGATCTCCTGTTCCCAAAACAGGTACATTAACCAAACTATGCTACTTTCCGTATTTATAAAAATTAATGATAATAGGACTTGAACCTATAACTTTGGGATTATGATTCCCACGCTCTACCAATTGAACTACATCATCAACCAATCAACCATTATATGTATAAATAAAAAAAAAGGCCAAAGTGGGATTCGAACCCACGAATTATTTTAAAATAATTGATGGTTTAGCAAACCACTGCCTTAACCACTAGACTATTTGGCCAATAAAATATTTATATTTTTTTAACTTAAAAAGCAAATAAAATTAAAAAAGCCATCATTAAAGCAAATAAAGCGATAGCTTCAGTTAAAGCAAAACCTAAAATAGCGGTTCTCATTAAATCTTGAGATAAAGAAGGATTTCTAGAAATACCTAAAACTAATGAACCAAAAACATTACCAATACCTACACCAGCTCCAGCTAACCCAATAGTAGCTAAACCTGCTCCAATAAATTTAGCAGATTGTAATAACACTTAAAATCTGATTAAAATACAGTTTTTCCGAAGAAAAAATAAAGAATTCTTCAATATTTAAAAATTATAAAAAATAATATTATATACAACCTCTAGGACTCGAACCTAGATAATGTAGCTTAGAAGGCTAAGACTCTACCAATTAAGTTAAGGCTGTATATTATTTATTATTTTTGCTTTACACTATAAATAGCATTTAAGTAATTTCTAGAAAGTTGTTGATATAAATTTTTTGTTAAAAATTTTTTATTTTTTTTTTCTTCCAAAGTTAAAGTAACCGCACCAATTAATGCTATTAACAAAATTAAACCTGCGGCTAATAAAAAAAAAGTATAATAAGTATATAAAATTTGACCTAAAGTTTCTATATTAGTTATTGTGTCATATTTTGATAAATATTTACTATAATGATAAGGCATATCTTTATAAATAGAAGCAGGATATCTAGACCAAACTAAACATAATTTATTATAAGTTAACATCTGAAGATTTTTTTGAATAAAAAATTGATATGAAGTAAAAGATTTACTAAAAATAATAAATGCTTCTATAAAAAAAGTAAAACCAATTAAAAAAATAATAGGTAAATAACCATAATTATTATTTTCATCTGTTTTTTTTTTATATCTAACATCATTACAACAAAAAGAAATAAAACAGTAATAGCCCCTACATAAATAATAATTAGCATAATAGCTAAAAACTCTACTTCAGCAACTAATAATAATCCTGTCATATTTGTAAAAACTAAAATTAAAAAAAATACTGAATAAACTGTATTTTTAGAATATATAACAAATATAGCTGAAGTTAAAGCTATACTTGAAAATAAGTAAAAAAAAAAAAAAAAAAATAATTAAAAGGTATCATATTTTATTTTTTAAATTAAATATAAATTAAATAATATTTTAATTTATATAAAACGGAAAAAACGGGACTCGAACCCGCGACCTTTAGCGTGACAAGCTAAAACTCTAACCAACTGAGTTATTTTTCCATAAATTATTTATAATTATTACCCTTTACGGGGTTCGAACCCGTGTTTTTGCCGTGAAAAGGCAAGGTCCTAACCACTAGACTAAAAGGGCTAAAAAATTTGTGATTAATGGGACTCGAACCCATAATATTTGCTTGGAAGGCAAAAGATTTACCAATTAATCTATAATCACTAAATAACAATAAAAATTAATTTATTGCCATTCTAATGCACCACTACACCAAACGTATATGAAACCAACAATTAATTCAATTAAGAATTCTATCATTGTCCAAAATCCCAATGAAAAATTTGAACTTAATGTTAATACCCAAGGAAAAACATAAACAGCTTCTAAATCAAAAACAATAAATAATAAAGCTATTAAATAAAATTTAACATCAAAAACTTTTCTAGCATCATCATAAGGATTAAATCCGCATTCATATGCAGTTAATTTTTCTAAATCATCCTTTTGTTGAATTAATAAAAAAGATAACATAAAAATAATAGTAGATAAGACTAAGCTAATAAGTAAAAATATAAAAATAATTGAATAATTTGCTTTCATTTTAATTTATTTATTATAATAACGTATTAAATAACTTTCAATATGACCTATAAAAGGAATTACTACTACAAAAAAAAAAAAATAATAAATCATAGCAATAATACCAACTTCAGTATATGGATAATCAACTGGCATTTGACCTATCCAACCTAATATTAAAAAAGATACAACTAATAACCAATAAAGAACTTTAAATATGGGTCTAAAAAGAGTACTTCTAATTTCAGAAGAATTGGTAAAAGGAATTGTTAATAAAATTAATAAAGAACCAAACATAGCTATAACTCCACCTATTTTATTAGGAATAGATCTTAATATAGCATAAAAAGGTAAAAAATACCATTCAGGAACTATATGTAAAGGTGTTTTCATTGGATTAGCTGGTATATAATTATCAGGATGACCTAATGTATTAGGATAATAATAAATAAAAATAGAAAAAATAAACATTAAAATAATAAAACCAAATAAATCTTTTACATAAAAATAAGGATAAAAAGGAGTTGTTTCAATTTTAATATATATACCTAAAGGATTATTTGATCCATTTTCATGTAATAAAATTAAATGTAATAAAACTAAACCCACAATAACAAAAGGTAATGTAAAATGTAAACTGAAAAATCTATTTAAAGTTGGATTATCAACAGAAAATCCACCCCATAACCATTCAACTATATCTTTACCAATATAAGGAATAGCCGAAAATAGGTTAGTAATTACAGTTGCTCCCCAAAAACTCATTTGTCCCCAAGGTAATACATAACCCATAAAAGCTGTAGCCATCATTGCTATAAAAATTAAAACACCTGAACACCATAAATGTTCTCTTGGTGTAATATAAGAACCATAATATAAACCTCGAAACATATGAATATAAACTACAATAAAAAAAAAAGAGGCACCATTTGCATGTATATATCTAATTAACCAACCATAATTTACATCTCGCATAATATGTTCAACACTATTAAATGCTAAATCAATATGAGGTGTGTAATGCATCGCTAAAAAAATTCCGGTTAATATTTGAACTGCTAACATTAAGCCAGATAAAGAACCAAAACCATAATAATAATTTATATTTATAGGAGTAGGATAATCTATAATATGATTATTTACAACTGATAATAATGAATTTTTAATCCATCTCATTTTTATTTTTTATAATTCAATAAAACCACTTATAAATTAGTAACAACTTTAAATAACATTTTTAAAAAATAAAATTAATCATTATTTTTTTTATTCCAAGGACTATTAAATTCAAATAATCTATATTTTTGAGATAATTGAATAGGTTCATAAACTACTCTTTTTTTTAATTCATTATAATATACTTCTAAATAACCACTTAATGGAAAATCTTTTCGTAAAGGATGTCCTTCAAAACCGTAATCAGTTAAAATTCTACGTAAATCAGGATGATTATAAAAAAAAATACCAAACATATCCCAAACTTCACGTTCCCACCAAGATGCGGCTTTATATATATTAGTTATTGAATCAATAGATTGTAATTCATTTATAATAACTTTTATTCTAATTCTCGAATTAAAACGAATACTTAATAAATTATATACAACTTCAAAACGGTTTAATTTATTTAAATAATCAACAGCACAAATATCAGAAATAATTTTATATTGACAATTTGTATGATATTTTAAAAAAAAAAAAATTGGTATAATTTTGTTTGAAGGTATATTAATAGATAATTCTTTTTTATTAAAGGTATAATTAATTATTGGAAGTGTTTTTAATAAATATTGACCATAATTTTTATTTAAAGACATAATTTTTAAAATATAATAAATAAATATTTAATTATTATATTAAATATTTATTTATACTATTAAATTTTATTATTTTAATAATATGAATAAATATTTAATTATTATAAACAAATTTTATCTGAGCTCTTCCAGCCACAGGTTCCCCTACGACTACCTTGTTACGACTTCATCACAGTCACTAAACCCTTCTTAGGAAAAAAAATATATAAAATTATTTATAATAAATATTTTTGATTTTTTTATAAAAAAAATATACAAATTTTTTACTTTAAAATGAATTAACTTCCATGATGTGACGGGCGGTGTGTACAAAGTCTAGTAACATATTCACCGCAACATGCTGTTTTGCGATTACTAGCGATTCCAACTTTATATGGGCGAGTTGCAGCCCATAATCCGAACTAAGATAAATTTTAAAGATTTGCTCCAACTTTTAATAATTATTGCCTCTCATTGTTTTTATCATTGTAGCACGTGTGTAGCCCAACCCATAAGGGCCATGAAGACTTGACGTAATCCTCACCTTCCGTTAACCTATAATCAACTTTTTTTTTTAAAGTGCATTTAAAATAAAATTCTTTTTTATTATAAATTAGCAATTAAAAATAAGGGTTTCGCTCGTTAAGGGAATAAACCAAACATCTCACAACACGAGCTGACGACAGCCATGCAACGCCTGTACTTTTTAAATTAATTTTTTAAAAATATTTACAAGGATTGGTAAGGTTTTGCGCGTATTGTCGAATTAAACCACATGCTCCACCGCTTGTGTAGACTCCCGTCAATTCCTTTGAATTTCAATCTTGCGATTATACTCTTCAGGCGGAGTGCTTAACGCGTTAGCTACTTCAAAATTATATCTAAATTTTTCTAAATATGAGCACTCATCGTTTACAGCATGGACTACCGGGGTATCTAATCCCGTTCGCTACCCAAGCTTTCGTTTCTCAGTGTCAGTATATACCCAGATAATTGCCTTCGCCATAGAAATTCCTCTTATTATTACAAGATTTTATCCTTACAATAAGAATTCTATTATCCTCTATTTATACTCTAGTTTATCAGTTTTGAAAAAATAAATAAAGTTAAGCTTTAATTTTTTTTTTTCAACTTAAAAAACAACCTACAAACCCTTTACGCCTAATCATTTCGAATAATGCTCGCCCCTCTCGTATTACCGCGGCTGCTGGCACGAAATTAGCCGGGACTTCTTTTTTAAGTACTGTCTTTTTTCTTCCTTAATGAAAGAGCTTTACAACCTATTAGCCTTCTTCACTCACTTGGTATTGCTGGATCAGGCTGTCGCCCATTGTCCAATATTCCTCACTGCTGCCTTTAAAAAAGTTTGGGCCGTGTCTCAGTCCCAATGTGGCTGATCATTCTTTCAAATCAGCTAAAGATCGTTGGCTTGGTAAGTCTATTAAACTACCAACTACCTAATCTTCCGCAAACTCATCCTTTAGCGTTTTTTAAACTTTATTTTTTATTCAGAATTTTTATAAAATAATTATGCTGAACTAAAGGGCAGATAATTCACGTGTTACGCACCCGTTTGCTATGTTTTTAAAAAACATTCAACTTGCATGTGTTAAGCATACCAATAGCATTTATTCTGAGCCAGCCAGGATCAAACTCTATAAAATTTTTAAATCATTATATATTGAATTAATTTGTAATTTCTATTTTATTTTACTTAAAAAGTAAGATAAAATTATTAAATATTTTTATTTAATACTAATATAATATTTTTTTTACATTAATTTATCTTTAATTTTATTTTAATTTATATAATTATATATATAATAATAACAAAT